ACCTAGATTAATTTTTTAGAAAACGCGAGTTTTTTGTAAACAAATAAATTGAAAACAAAAATTCCGGCTTTGTTAGGTTGTAGCGCTGATATTTACCTTCATTTTAAAACCTTTTCGAGCTTTCTAGCATTTAAAATGGCGGAGAAATCTTTGACGCACAATCAGGTAAAACAAAAAAAACAGTTTCGAGAAAAACACAAAACAAGTTTCTCCTTTGATTATCGCGGTTTTTTTTGGAAAGTGGTACAGAGAAAAGTCTGAGAGCAGTTCGTCGCAGGTTATCGGCTATGACGAATCGAATGAGCACATGTAGAGACATGTGCGACGTACTTTTTCCCATATGTAAGCATTATTTTCACAGAAAACCGTAAAAAATCAATCAGTTTTTGATGTTGGATGCCTCAGAAAAACCGCTGTAAAACCCTCAAAAATCATCGTAAAACCAATAAATCATAGTGCATTCGAAAGCAGATGATTTTTTGTCGAAAAATGCTTTTTTTGAGGGGTGGGAGGGTCCTTAAATCTCTTTTGGAAGCAATATAATTAGGACATGGTATATTGACGTTTGAATTTTCTAGTACTCGTATATTTTTATCTAAATTTTGTTAGTTCCGTGACATAACCCTTCCGCGAACAGGACCCCGACTCTTCTGCGAATTTTCTTAATACAAAGTTAGGTATTTCTGACAGTGTGTGGGGATGGCGGTGAGGGCTTTCTTCGGTTCACGGAAGACTACCCTGGCTTTACCACGAACTGATTCCAACCAAAAGTATAGAAAAAATTCTTTTATTATTATCTGCTAAAAGTTTGTGAGAGCGAAAAGCTGAAGTGGTCACCATGTGCCGCTCGAAATGCTCTATTTTTGTACTGCTCACATTTTTTCATGGCATTTTCCACCTTCGGATTTTGCAATAAAACAGTCAATACATTTTGTAAAGAATTCACCAGGCAAACGTTTGGTATAAGAACTAGCGCACTCAATTGTAAGGAGGAGGAGATAATCTAAAAATACTAACAGCGCAATTCTTTATGGGCTACCCGTTAGAAAGTTATGCTTAGGCTCCATCCGATCTGATTTTACTCTCACTGCTATCCAACTGCGAGTTTTGCTCCTCTCTTAATGGATACCTTAACAATGGTAGATATTCGATTAATCCATAAAACATTAAGTGTCGATAGAATGACTAATATTATATCTATATAAACAACACTGTATCGCATGATTAAAACTATTTTATTTTGAAAGAAAAATAGTACTGTCTAATTGGAAATGAACTTCAATGTCACTGATTGAGTATATAACTCGCTAGTACAATGTTTGTATGAAATAATTTATATGGTTTATACAGTGCTTGATATGATCGTCCAGATACATTAATATTATTCCCATGAAATTCTTTCCCATTATTTAAAGCATTCACCACTTTGGTATTCGATATACTGTCACCTGTTGTTAACTGTCCATTTTCATTCTCAACTGTTGTTATCACTGCAACATATTGTGACGATGATTGAGATTTAACATAATATGTAAATTTATTTCGTTTATTGTTTTTAAATAAATTATAAAGTCCATAAACATATTCAATTATTTTCCCAATAGCATATCGAGTAGTTGTAATTCTGTTCAAGGTTGAATTAGTCGGTAAACCGACAATATAAAAGACGATTTGTCCGTCTGGTTCACGAAATGGAACACCTAATTCATAATAGGATTGATTAAATATTGAAAAATCTTGTTGAAAGACTTTTTCTTGATTTATCACATTTAAAATCTCCGGTGTTGCAAAAACTGAGCCTGGTGGAAGACTTTTATCGGTTGCTGGTGTTATTGCTACCAAAGCACGGATATATTTCGAATCAGTTTTTGATTGTACATCATAACTAATGATTAAAGTTTTGTCTGTTTTCTTTTTCAAATTCGACGCCATTTTTGTGAAACTATGAAGATAATTATAGACTTTTCCAATGGCAATACGATTTGATATGGGAGCTGCTGCATTAGTATGGAAGAAAAATACTAATAGTATTATTAATTTTACAATGACGAAATAGTGCATCATTCTACAGCACACAAATAACTTATCTCAATGGTTATTACAGTACGTAGCTTATATTATAGGAAAGTTACAAGGGCATTATCACTTTTTTTTACTATGGTTCATTGAGTTTTTGTTTATTCACTTATGTAGATAACGATATACTTGGCCATGCATCAAAAATGACGGTTTTTTTGTAAAAAGATTGATCTTTTTCACAAGCACATGGTGATACGACCATAGTACTCGCTTTCGAATGCACTAGGGCAGATATCTGGAAAAACAGAATCTGAGTTTTCTAAAAACTATAGCCGAAGAGAAATATATTTTTTGTAGTTTTATTGATAATATCTAGAAGTATAGCACTTGATGTAAAAGTACTTTTGTGCAATCTTCTTTAAATAAATAATTTTTTCTACGTTCGTTGTCGCAATTTTTATTCATCACATTCATTAAACCCGTTGATCGATCATGACAGACTTTCTATAAATTTAATAATTTCTGTTGGCGTTCTGGCTTCCTTAATAATGAAAATAATGTCTTATCGACAGAAATATCTAAAAGAACAACAAAACATAGCATTAACAAAAGTTTTTATTAGTTTTCTCAACTACCCTCATCATCGATCAATCATCTTAATAAGATTACTATACTCTCAGCTTCAATTAATTAACGAACTAATCGAATCACCGACTCTTCCGTGAATTTTCTTAATACAAAGTTAGGTGTTTCTGACAGTGTGTGGGGATGCGGTGAGGACAGTGTGTGAGAGTGAGTTCGAAAAGTAGTTTCACATAAAAGATATTTGCATCAGATAGTGTGAATTTGCTTGAGCATCTCAGGTAGTTACCTGGTATGTCAGTATTTCAAGTTGAAGGTATTTTAAAACATTTTTCACGCGTACATGCGGTAATTGCCGTTGTTTTGTTGACGGGTGTTGCAAAAGTTCCTGGAAAATATATCGTAGATCTTTTCTTACTCAAATCCAGTCTCGAAAAGTTTTGTTTTCCATGTTCTTTGTAGTTAAAACTTTGCTCTTTCCAATGAAAAGATAATTAACTCTTCAACACATCGGAAACATACATAATTAATGTTCGATATTTTATCCAGCAATTTTTGAACATCCGTTAGTTTTCAACATGTTTACGAAAACTCGCGGAAGAGTCAGTTCGTGGTAAAGCCGAGGTAGCCTTTCGTGAACCGACTCTTCTGCAAGCACGACCCAGACTCGAGTCGAATGCGACCGATTCCATCCGCAGGTGGTTGCGTTCATAAATTCTTTGTCAAATTGTTTAATATGTAAAAAAGTGCATGAATAGTCGAGGTTTTATGCCTAAAATCGAATATTATTTGAAAAGAAATTGTTTGAATTCAGATAGTTAAAAAGTTGTTTGTAAATGAATCTCTCAAAAGTTCTACTAGGAAGGCTAATGAGATATATTGGTTTATAATTAGACACAATATTGTCAGGGCCCTTTTTATACGTCGGATTGACTGTAGCGACCTTCCATTTATTAGAAAATATTTGCAAAATTCTGTATTATTAACACAGAAGAACAAAATATTTACAAAATTAGGTATTATTTTGTAAATATTTTGTTCTTCTGTATTAATAAAAAAAAGAAAGAAAAAAAAGGATAAAAAGGTAGCAATTTTTATAGATATTTGCACGTTCTTTTTGCGTGCATGACAATGGGTTTATGCATTGCTAGATTTTTTTGTATAATAAAAAGGTTTATTCTTTTTAACTTACAAAAATGCTATTGTCAAAATAAAAATCAATCAATCAAGTCAGAATTCTGCTATACATGATTCACAACAGATGCGAGTGCATAGCGTCCTTTTTTCTCCTTAGTTGTAGTTAAAATTGTTCTTTTTTAAGCAATTGTGTGCTGGTCGCGTTGGATATATTCTTAACATATCTATGGCTGTATTTACACAGAATCATTTTATGGAAACCTAATCAGATTGACTCTCACCTTTTTAATTATATTTTACAAAGCTCGCATAATGATGTAACATAAAAACGCCTCTTTCGCAATGTCATTTTGAACGTATTTCACCTCTATTTGAAATAAACTAAAAACATTATTTTCGCAAACTTGAAACTTCAGATTTTTCGTTCTTATCATCATTGAGCTAAACATTCTCAATGAGAATAAAGAATCTACTGTGGAAGCTGAAGACGATAAAAGAAAGCCATTTCCCGTTAGAACTAATTTTTCATCCAAAAATTAAAAAAATAATTTACGTCAATGTGGAGGCTAAAACTATTATAAATTCATTTAAAATAAATTAATTTACATGTACTTCGGCAGTGAAAGTTAATTAATTAAATTTCAATGTCCAAATTAGTTTCGACAAACGTTAATTTGCTTCAAATTAGTTTAAATTAATTTATTTTGAGTAAGTTTGAAATATTCTTCTCCTACACACTTGTTCCTTAATTTTGATCGTTGAGGTTTATGCCAACTAATTTATTTTAAATATATTTACATCAATTTCGACTCTTAAAAACAATTTATATTATCCAAACTATGTCATGGGTATTACAAAAACGAATTGCAGCTAAATATCAAATTTTGTCTTTTTCAAAAATTTAAACGTATTGTGAGTAAGAAATTAATTTGCATTAGTTGATTTGTTAATCCTTTCTTGCACCTATGGTACCTCTAGGTGCCACTTTATAAAAATTTAGCTCACTTGAACTATTTGACATTTGGAAACGGATTTTATATCAACTTAAAGCCTGTTTGTTGTGAACTTCAAATTAACAATCTGAATGTAATCTTCATCATAAAAATATATTTTTGACGTTCACCGAAGATTTGGTTCAAACTTTTCCTGTGCATATTAGAGGCCATAAGATTAATACCTCAGATTTAGCCAAAGACACGAAAGGATTAAAATTCTTTTCCAGACAAATTTCAGATTTAAAATTAGCTTTAAAAAATATTTCGCTATATTTCCTTAACACTTCTAATATCTCCCAATGAATTAGTTATTATTAAGCTCCCCTCCCCCCGTCAGAAATCTATCTCGATAACCACAAGTCCGATCTGAGCGAAATTTTTGGGGAATGTTGAGGAATCTTCCCGACAGTGTTTATTATGTACGAAAAAGTCGCCTTTGAGATATACCCAGGTCCATGATTACGATCGTATACGTCAAATTACGACGACGTAATTTGACCGGGTTTACGTCAGAATACGACGAAATACGCTTATGAATCTTTAGTGGCGCTAGTGTACGACACAGGTTTTAGGGCTCTTAATAAAATTGGCATAACTTTTGATCAAAGCATTGCTTGGTGGCTCGGAGACGTCTCATTTTAACCATAAATGTTTACTCTACTAATTGGAATTGCTAGAATCCTTTTTGATTCCGACATTTCACTGAAATACCAAGATTTCAGAAAAATCAGGTTTTTAGGGCGTTTAGAGGCTTTGTTCAAAATTCTCCAAAAACCTTTGGTGTAGGCACAAATAGTATGAATTCTAAAAGTAGGCATCCTAGGCTCTTCAACCATGCGCTTAGCTCAACTTGGGTCTTTTATAGAAAAATCTATATTTCTGACCGGGAGGGGGTCTTAAGGGGGGGTCCCCCATTTAGTAGAGGATGCTTCGAAGTATATGCCCCGAAGTTTTTCGGTTTACTTGCATTACCTGACCGAGAAAAAAATTAATTACTTAAAAAAATGTTGTTCAATTTTTGAAGAAAGAACTATTATTAAAAGAACTCTTATCCATTATCCATTCATCATGAAAACTTAGTTCTTGCCTAGATCGATGGAGAAATGTGCGGAGAATATTTTCTACGAGAAAATATGTAAAAATTTTTGTTCTTTCCTTCCGGTTATTGACTAATTAGTACTAATTAATGTTAATTTAGAAGTGAAAATCCAAAACTTGAAAATATCGCTGATATTTGGCTCACCGAACGTTTTTCACGTCACCTTACGGCTAGTTTCGCCGGAAGCAAGCATTTTGAAACAAACCTCTTGATACAAAAGTTGTTCAGAATCAAATTCTGCAGTCCAACAGGAGAGCTTTTTTAAAATTTTCTATTTTCGGTTTTTAAATTAAATTTTACGGTTTTTTAAAATTTTAAAATTTCATATTTTTCAATTTAAAAAGCAAAAAAGAAAATTTTAAGAAAAGCTCTGGTGAGGGACTCCGAAATTCGATTCTGAACAACTTTTGTATCAAGAGTTTTGTTTCAAAATGCTTGGTTCTAGCGTAAGGCTTTTTTCAAAATACTTTTAGCTCTAAAATTTCCTCGGAAAGGTGACAGTTAAATTTCTCCGTCAAACTTCATTTGGGAATGATGTAAAGTTTTTCTCCTTATACAAATTAATGTTCTCTATTGAACTACGCTAGAATCAACTCTTCATATGAAAAAATGAAGTTTTTATTGAAATTTTAAAAATAGGACAAAAAACCCGAAAAACACTTCAAAAAATTTTTTTATTAAAAACTATAAATCCGGAAACTGAAAGCTTTATTGAGACGTATACTTTGAAGTGTCCTCCACAAACTGCTGGAAAAAAACGAGTGGGGAGACCCCCCCCTTAATTGATTTAGATTAATTCACATTTAATAATCTAAATAAATTAATGTTCTACTACTGTGAATTAATTTAGGACTAGAAAGTAATGTAAATTGATTTTTGTGTATTTAGTTTTGCAGTTTACTGCAAAGTTAGATTCATGTATTCGAATCTCTATTCGTATAAAATTGATTTTATGGTTTTCGGTAGTTTTAATTTAGAATACTATATACTGGAATAATTTTCCGCCGGCATTCTGACAGAAGAAAGCTTATACCAGTATCTAGGATTAAATTGATGTATATTCTATTTTTTAAATCAGTGATGGTTTTTTACTTCATACCCCATATTGTGTAAACCGCTCGAAAACCGTCAGTTAATCGCGGTTATTTTAAAAACCAACGGTTAACGCAGTTATTTCAGCTGAAACCATAGTAACACAGCATAAAAACAGCCGGTTAACTACGATCAACCGACCGTTTTCGAACGGTTTATACAACATGGGATCGACTCAAATGAATTTCTTTCGAGAAATTAATCTAATCTTGAATTTAATTAGAAAAATACATCGAAACTGAATCATGAAAAATGTAAGGTTTCTAACGAAATTATAAATTTTATTACTATTTGATGACTGAAGTTTTTATATTTGATAGCGTGAGCTTCGTCTATATTCAAAGTACAATATTTTCGTCTTTCTTTTTGTTTATAAATGAAATTTAATTTTATAAAATCTCAACAGCGATGTTGTAATTAATCTTCATAAGTTCGAAAGGATTTTTCGGTCGGAAAAAAGAGCAAGCAGCACTCGTGTTCTTCTGTAGAAAAATGATCAATCTATCAGAATACAAACCAACGGTGACAAAAGTTTCGAAATTCAAGTTATACGATGATACTACGAGAAAGTTAAAACAAGAATCTGTTTCAATCAATAACTTAATTTTGAATAGACCAGCGGTGTCACGGATACATAGACGAGTATGTAAGAATTGGTGTTAAGGAAAAAAACTACCATAACTAAGTTTAGAAAACTGAAACAGACAAGTTCAACAGCCCAAGTGAGATTTCAATCAATAACTTAATTTTGAATAGACCAGCGGCGTCACGGATACATAGACGAGTATGTAAGAATTGGTGTTAATGAAAAAAACTACCATAACTAAGTTTAGAAAACTGAAACAAACAAGTTCAACAGCCCGAGTGAGATTTCAATCAATAACTTAATTTTGAATAGACCAGCGGCGTCACGGATAAGTAGACAAGTATGTAAGAATTGCTGTTAATGAAAAAAGCTACCATAAATAAGTTTAGAAAAGTGAAGTAGACAAATTTAACAGCCCAAGTGATATCACTTTTTCCGTTTTGACGACATCAGATAAGAATGCAAAACAGTTGTTACGAAGTGGAACTTCAAATGTCTGTTATTCGTCTAAAACTTATAACCGGAGACATAGTACTGATGAAATACCAAAGAACACATTTATTCCAAGTAAGTTTTTGGAGGACTACTCACCACGCAAAAAACTTTAGTTCCGTTGAATGTAGGTGACAGGAACAAGAGTAGCACTACTATCAATCTTCATGTAATCGATGAGAGCAAACAACCAGTGTCAACAAACAAGGAGCAGCAGGCGCATGCTTTGACACCGACCAAGGAAAGATTGAGAACGGAAACCTTCTCTCAACTGCCTCCAGAGGTATAGAATGGGAAAAGGCGCGACGAAATGTAGATTTTACTCTTCTCTTAGAGTCTAAACTCCTCAAGTACGTCCAGTAAACAACAACTAATGAAAAATGATCACGATTTTAAACGAAAACGGCGAAGACGACGAAGAACAGGGTATTTTCTGAATGAAAAATGCAAAACACATAATTTATTCACGAATTTTAGATTGTGTTGCTCACCCCTGTGTTATCTACTCTGTTGTCTTCTTTCGACCTTTATACTTGGAACAGCATTAGCAGTGGCAATTTTAGCTGTGAGTCAAACAAATACAGGGACAACAAGTAAAAGACGCTCTCTTTCTGGTTAATCAAAAGTTTATCACTGTTTTTATTCAGCAGTTTCGACTTCGACAGCATCTGTTACCACACAAGTGTCCACAAGTAGTACCATAACAAGTCCCCTGACCACAACAGTAGTAACATTCACAAGTTCACTAACCACAACGATAGTAACATTCACAAGTTCACTAACCACAACGATAGTACCATTAACAAGTTCATTAACCACAACAGTGGCAACATTAACAAGTTCACTAACCACAACGGGAGTAACACTGGCTGCGACCACGACAAGTGTATCATCTTCGATGACGACAAGCATAATAAGTACCACAAGTTTAACGGTCATCACGTCGAGCACCGTAAGTATTATTGGCGAGAAGATTCGCTTAAAAATTTGTCATCTTTCTAATTTTTATTACCCCTTCCCACATGGATTAAAAAAACATAAGCTGCCTGTTTCAGTAGCGAAGATCTAATCTCATTTTAAGGTTACAACTATACCTACTACAAGTTCAAATGTTGTTGCTGGACCTGATGCATCCTGTACTCGTTGGTACTGTAAAAATGTTTTAACATTTTACACCACTGCAGTAATAACTGCTATAAGAGTAGTAGTTACTGTTCAAAAAACAGTTGGAGCAACTTATGCAAATATGTGGACAAATTTAGCAACTGGAATTTACTCAAGTACTTTTCTTGATAATGGCAGCCAACTAATATACACCTATACACTGAACACGGGTTCAACACTAACCTCAGGCAGCTATGGATTTGGTGGAAACTATTACCTTACGGGAACAGTACAAAATACAACAGCTGACACATGGACAATTACTTACACGGACAGTTCGAATACAAGCACTACAGAAAACGGTCATTTTTAAGAAGAACAGAACGGTAGAATGCTAAAGTGATTTTGTTAATAAAAATTAGTGGAACTAAAGTCCGAAATCGAGTGACGAAGATTCATCTTGTGACATGTTTGAAAAGCAAAAGCTTTTTTTTGAAAGTTTCTAAAATCTCCAAAGTTCGAAACAATAGGCTGTTGTTCTAAGCTTTAAAGTTTTCAAAAATCAGCACTTTCTAAGAACTGTTTATGGGGGGTTTTCCACATATACTGGAGCAGAGTCTTAAAAGGAAACCAAAGCGAGTTTTGATTAACAACTCTACAGATGGATTCTATAAAAGACAATACTTTTCAATTTTGAAGGATAGATTATTTCTCAAAATTAGGTTTCAGTAGATTATACTTTGCAGTTTTTTGTTCAGCCATCTAAGTTATATACAAGCATTATAAGACGTTTTCAAAACTTTTTACTGAAAAATTCTAGTTTATCTAAACTTTTTGACACTAATTACACAAGTAAAATAAGACTGCTCTCCCCCTTCTTTCATTGATGAAGTCTCAGTAATCTACCGCCAACTGTCCTTTAATATAACTTTTGAAATTTGTCCACATGTTCAATTTTACTTAGGAAGGCAATTATTCAAAATTAAATGATGATTCAACATTGTAGCTTTAATCATAGTTTAGCGATTCAACCGATATTACCAGAAAAGTTGTAATATGTCAAACAGAAATTTGAAAATTTGAAAAATCTAGTTTTTAATTTAATCTTTATTAGGAAAACTAAATAGAATTCTTCTTCCTATGAACGTATAGGTAAACTCAGCCTTCGCGTTGACAAGTAATAGTCCACTGGCAAATTTAGTACCAAAATGAAAAGTTGAACAAATGCCTTGCTAATGTTTGAATAAAATATCGGAGACTCTTTTATATTTTTATTTGTGTGTTTCGAAAAAACAACTAAAAGTGGAAAGATGGGTAAAACAAAATAACGGTTCAAAATACATTACAAACTAAACTAGAGAACAAGTGCGCTGCGCACAAGTTGCGATGTCTACAGACTGTATCCAATTTGAATCTGCCAGAAGCGTCAATAGGAAGTTCATCACATCATGTTCATTGTAATTTTAGTTACTTTTAGATGTAAGAAAAATGAACTGGAAACGAAATTCGAAATGAGAGAGAGACGATTATTTTTATATTTCATCTCAAGAACAAATGGCGCCGGACAATCAACCCTTACAAATGCATGAAGAATTTCAAAGTTGAAAAAACATTTTACTTATACCTGTGTAGCTTATGGCACCAAATCTGGACTTATGTTTGAAAAAAAACGTGCACTTGTCAATCTGCATCATCCTGAGACTATCCTTCCGTTTGCGGAAGTTTTCTATGTAGCGTACTCACCTAGATCACACAGTGCACATTTTGCAAAAAAAATGATTAAATAACCGATCGCATAATGTCTGTCCACATAAAAATTCAAAAATATTGTGTAATACTCTTGCATACAACTGTTTTAGTAAAATTATTCGAACTATCAATTCTTCTAATTATAAATCAGATAACATTTTAAGCGCAAAATCTACATTAGTCATTTAAAATACGAAATCAAATTGTAACTTTCATAGATATCAAGAAAACTTTCGTTATATGATTTACCTTATTTGTATAGGCCATTCCATTCGGATGCAGAATTTATAGTAAATCATTTTTAGACTAAGAAACGATACATCAATAACGCATATAATTGCATTGCAGATGCTCAATATTTTCTTACATTTTTAATTATATGTTTGCTTTGACATTCAATACGTATTATGTATGTATCCAAAAATATATCTGCAGTAAAAGCGGAATGATAGCAGTCCAGATAACTCTGCTACCGGAGCAAAATTTCGTGACGAAATTTTGGCATTTTGCTGTATTCATATTTTTTGAACAAAAGCACGTCTAGTGCTGTTGAACGCATCGAATCATAAAGCAAACGTTTCTCTATAAAATGAGGCGTCTCGGAACTCTATACGTTTCTTTGTTTAACAGGAGGGTCCTCCCTCTGCTCCTATTTAGATTTTCCCCCACAGTTCCCAGATTGTTGAGGATACATCGAAGTATATGCTCTAAAGTTTTTCGGCTTACTTGCATTACCTGACCGAGAAAAAAATTAATTACTTAAAAAAATGTTGTTCAATTTTTGAAGAAGGAACTATTATTAAAAGAATCCTTATCCATCATCCATTCATCATAAAAACTTGGGTCTGGCCTAGATCGATAGAGAAAGGCGTGGAAAATATTTACGACGAGAAAATATGTAAACATTTTTGTTCTCTCCTTCCTGTTATTGACTAATTAGTACTAATTATCGTTAATGTATGCCACTGTATTACTGTAGAACAATTCAACCGAAAGCGATCGATCTTATTCTTTTCATAAAAAAAGTGAAATAATATTTACTTTGAGGCTTCTATGACAGTAATAAATTTAAAGGGGTCCGTTTATAAAAGAATCACTTTTTACAGTGCATCCATATGATTAATTTACCTTGTAAACACATTAATTATTTTTACCGCTTCCTTCAATAGAAAGAAAAATATATGTATAATCAAGTAGCGATTATTATTGTGCACC